GTTCATTTCTTTTCTTTTGGGTGCCGTGTTCACCCACGCTCTCGTCTGGCCTGACTCACATTTGCGTCTAGTGAGTCAGGTACGATCCCAGGGGGTGGCGGGCGGCCCCAGTGCCTTTGTGCCGCAACGCGTTCATTTGTCGTCACTCGTAATGCGCGCGCATTCACAAACATGCCTGACACTTGATTGGCACATTCGGCGTAAATCTCTGACCTTCTCCCCTCCCCCCCTCCTTCCTCCTCTGTGCTTCTCCCTTTCTCTTGACGCCCGCTCGCTCTCCCTGGGTCGCTGGGGGGGCTGACTGGTCCGCTGTCCCGTCACTTTATTGACACCTGGATTATTTGGCCACGACGCGCTCCGCCCGGCTCCGCCCCGCCCCGGGACGCGGAGTGAGGTGTGAGCGAGTGAGTCAGTCGCGGGGATCAGGTTCGCGGCGCGTTAGTCACCGCGGGCGCACATCGCCCATCCTCCGGCACGGGAATGGGAACGCTGACCGGCGAGCGGGCGTTCAGGGAAGCGGGGGGTCACGCCCGGGTCACTTGCACGCGCGTGTGTCTAGACAGCGCAAGTCCCTGCAGTCGTCCTACTGATGAACGGCAACGCGACACCTCTTTATTGCGTCTATGCAGCAATGGGTATGCCTCGTCCAATTCCGACTAGACGAGAGCAGATCTCGGAGCGTATGGACTGCGCGGCTCTGGGTTTGCGGTGTGCGGCTCTCTTGTGCGGAACTGCCCCCCCCCCCCTTCTTTTCCCGCTAATCCCTCGCCGCGGGCCCCGGCGGCGCGCGCCTGCCTGCGCCCAAATGAACAATATTCGGCTGCCATATTTGGACATCCCTACCTGCGCCTAATTGTCTGGAGAGAGCAAGAGAGATGGAGAGAAGCCCTTCTCAGAAACGACAACGTAACGCCAAATTGTGCGCCGCGCGTGCCATTCCGTGTGTCCTGTGGCCGTCGTGGGGCCGCGGCCGTGGCGTTACAACATCGTCAGCGTCAGATTTACATCCGCGCGCTTTAGTTCTGCCGTCGCGCTGGGCTCCGACATCGTGTTATTGTTCAGCCCCCCCCCCC